CATACACACATACACACACACCTATCTATCTATCTATCTATCTATCTATCTATCTATCTATCTACGCACGCACATGCGCACACACACACACACACACACACCTACCTATCTATCTATATATATAAATATACATATATGCATACACACACACATATGTGCTAAAAATTTATAATTAGGGCACACACACACACATATACAGTATATGTGCCACAAATGAATAATTAGGGTTAGGTAAAGTATATATGTATAAACTTTATCCCAAATGTTTAGAATGGTAATGTATATATGTTATATAGACATGGCAGATGACAGTGACACTTTTCTAAATACACACAGACACAGTTTTTGTTACCATATACAATGAGAAGTTAGTTTTTTTCCTTTTTAAATTGAGAAACACAGTTTTCTGAAAGCCATTGCAAAGACTTTGCAATAGGCTCACAATGTTGATTAAAGTTCCAAGAGACAAAGAAATGAATTTGTTATTTAAACCATCAATCATGCATATTCAATACCCTGACACCACTGACAGAACGGCTCCCTTCAGCACGATCCTTTGTTTTAAGGCAATTCCAAATGCACTATCTATCTATCTATATACACACACACACACACACACACACACACACCTATGTATCTATCTATCTATCTATCTATATACATATATACATACACACAGACACCTATCTATCTATCTATCTACATACATACACACACACACACACCTATCTATCTATCTATATACATACACACACCTATCTATCTATCTATATACACACACACACACACCTACCTATCTATCTATATATATAAATATACATATACTGTATGCATACACACACACATATGTGCTAAAAATGTATAATTAGGGCACACACACACACATATACAGTATATGTGCCACAAATTAATAATTAGGGTTAGGTAAAGTATATATGTATAAACTTTATCCCAAATGTTTTGAATGGTAATGTATATATGTTATATAGACATGGCAGATGACAGTGACACTTTTCTAAATGCACACAGACACAGTTTTTGTTACCATATACAATGAGAAGTTTGTTTTTTTCCTTTTTAAATTGAGAAACACAGTTTTCTGAAAGCCATTGCAAAGACTTTGCAATAGGCTCACAATGTTGATTAAAGTTCCAAGAGACAAAGAAATGAATTTGTTATTTAAACCATCAATCATGCATATTCAATACCCTGACACCACTGACAGAACGGCTCCCTTCAGCACGATCCTTTGTTTTAAGGCAATTCCAAATGCAATAACAGGGAAACTAGTTATATAGACAGAACATAGCCCAAGGCATTTCAAAAGTGTGTTTATATAAAACTGTATGAGCACTCTGATTAGTTTTGTTGTTCATTTTACAGAACACTCACAGATTTCTCTCTTTTTCTTGCTTGTTTCAGAGCGGAGGGATTCAAATGTGGAAGTGACAGCACCAAGGCCATCTTCAGGTGAGTGAAATCAAACAGGACACTACGTGCCATCGCTAGCCATCCATCAGTATTGAGTTTGCAGACCACTGTCTGCGCAGTAATAGGACATGTCTGTGCTATGTCTCATTCAAGATGGCATGCGGTGTGATGCTTACAACCACTGAAACGTACCGCTGTACTGTTGAGCGCTTCTGGCATCTACACCAACCCTGTTTTGCAGTGCTGACTTTTTTTTTTTCTTAGTCTTTGGAGAGGTCATGTGGATTTACACGTAGATGGAAAATCCAATTCTGCTAGCGTAATGAACGGGGAAAGGCTCTGACCCCCCTGAGTAAAGATAGCTGGCAAGACGGATTTCATTTGTTACTCTTGTCACTTTCTAGTTTCAGTGAGAGCCACGTCTTGTTTTCTCTCAGGTCAAAGTCTGGATTATTCTCACCGTGTGGTGAAACTTACAAAACTTGTGCAGGTCATATTTAACCTCAAAATGAAGAAAATAAGATGTGTTATTTATTTATTTTAGACATGTTATTTATTTATTTATTTATTTTACACAAATGTTAAGCCTATCTTTTAGATTATTTGTATAGTGACATTATTTTCATTAAATTAATTTTGGAGCTAGTAATTAGATTTTTAATCTAATTACTAGATTATTGGTGTTGCTGAGGAAAACAAAGCAAATTCATAATATTACATTATTGTATTGTTTAGTTACGCTACCATTCAAAAGTTTGGGGTTGGTATCTGTTTTTTTTTTTTAGGGGGCTGCATTTATTTGATTTGATCTGAAATCCAGTAAACCGTTTAATTAGAATTTAATTAGAATTTTCAGTGTCATTAATCCAGTCTTCTGTGTCACATGATCCTTCAGAAGTCATTCTAATATGCTGATTTGATGCCCATTTTTGATTATTATAAAAAAAAACTAACTAGCGAGCTACTTAACATTTATCTGGAAACCATGGATTTTTTTAATCAATAGAAATTTTAAAAGAATAGCATTTAATTAAATATATAGAGATTACAGATGTCTTCACTGTAATTTTTTAATTTAAAATATTTGTATTTTTTATTTAAACTTTTTTATTTCTGAATAAAAATATAAATTTATTTAACTGACCCCAAACATTCGAATGGATATATATATATATACACATGCACACTGCTATTTGTTGGAGCCTTTCATTTATACTCTTTAATTCTGAGAAGTGTCTTTATTTTTTCTATAGGGATTTAAAAAATATAGAAATAAATAAATACAATAGGAATTAATAAAAATGGCATTACAACATAAAATGTTTTACTTACATAAAAGAAAAAATATTGGAAGTTCAATTGGAAGAAAATTATAGAAGTAGTAGTTTGTAGTTCTTCAAATATGCAACCGTGAAATCACGCTGGCTTTTGGCTCCTCAAGAAAACGTTTTAAAATAAAAAATAATCCAACTGGATAATTTTACAACTGGAACCTGGCTGTTTATTTTTTTATGCAAAATATATCTTATTTTGTGCTTTAGGCTTACTTTCATTGCCAAACTTGTTTGTTGTGTATGAATTAACAGAAGAGGCTTATATAACAGCGTAAGGTGCCGTATTAAAGAATTAGATAGATTGTTTCAATTTCTATATAAAAATGGCATTACAACATAAAATGTTTTACTTACATAAAAGAAAAAATATTGGAAGTTCATTGAAAATTATAGAAGTAGTAGTTTGTAGTTCTTCAAATATGCAACCGTGAAATCACGCTGGCTTTTGGCTCCTCAAGAAAACGTTTTAAAATAAAAAATAATCCAACTGGATAATTTTACAACTGGAACCTGGCTGTTTATATTTATGCAAAATATATCTTATTTTGTGCTTTAGGCTTACTTTCATTGCCAAACTTGTTTGTTGTGTATGAATTAACAGAAGAGGCTTATATAACAGCGTAAGGTGCCGTATTAAAGAATTAGATAGATTGTTTCAATTTCTAGCTTAAAAATGGTGTGCTCTACCTCTACCTCAGATGTATTTTCAATAATCCTAGAGCCTTATGCGCAGTCTGAACCTGCAGTTTTTCTCAGCATTGTTAAGTAAATGCAACACGTTCCATATGAAACCAGTCTCACAGATGAGTCTTTTTAGCACTTCCCTGCATAGGCATATACAGTTTCCATGGAGACAGCGAGGCCAGTACGCACTGTGGCTTTTTTTCACAAATGGATCTGGCACGAGCACTTGAAAGAAGAGAGAGAGTCACAAGCAGGCACCTAATGGTTGCTTCATCATTCTTCAACACCTTCTCCTCTTGTGTCAGGCATATAACTCAACATCTTCCCTCCTTGGCCAACACTTTTCTTTTAGACTGTGCAGGTAGAAACAGCCCACTGCCATAGGAAACTGTGTATGCCATTTAAACTAATAGTCGAACAAAGCATATCTACTACACTGAAAAAAAAAAAAATGTTTAGTGCAGTTTAATGCATAATTCCTGAATAAAAAAAGTGTAAAAACACTTTTGAAGGGTAGTGTAGGACCAAATGGAAATTATAACGGTGTTATACATAATATTTAGAATAAAACCAGTCCTCACCAGTCATGGATAATATAAAAGATGTTGTAAATTATATTTTTTTGAAATTCTATGTATAAAATTACCCTACAACCATGTGAATATCACAGAAAGAGGTGTCCAAGGAAATCAAACCTGTCCCTAGAATTTTTAGCCAATCATAAAACCAGCCAATGGCAGCAAAGTTCCTTGATTATTACGCCGGAATGAGAGTATAGTTCCTAGCCATATTGGCTTAGAAAATCACAACTTTTCATTTTCCGTCGGTCTTAGTAGACGATGTAACTACAGAAGAGTCCAGTTTTAACTAGGAAAAATATAGAAATTCTTTGGTCATTTTTGAGCGAGATGCTAACGGTCAAATCAGATTCAATGATCTATGCTAAGCTACAGCTAAAAGTGCTACCGCCAGACCCGGAGATCGGCTGAATGGATTCGAAAAAGGTAAAACTCAACTGTTTAACTCTAGGGGAGTTGGAAAATGAGCCTATTTTCAAAAATAGTGGAGTGTTCCTTTAAAGCCATGTCTAATTTGTCCAAAATAAGGTCTTTGAAGGCAGCATAATTTCAGCATAAAATAAAAAAGCTACTACTCTTTAAAATGCAGTCTTGCAGTCTCATTCGCTTGGTTAAGGAACATACTGGACAGATATGTTTTGTATAGCTTCCTGACATTTCAGTTAATTTTTTTTATCAGATCACAGGCCCGAGGGATCTATACGGCAAGAGAGAATCAGTTCCACAGAGTAATGCGTTTCAGTCTGTAGTCATCAGTCACAATGGACGGTTTTCTCTCTTTTTCAGTCCGGATGGCAGTTTCCTGGCAGCTGGCTCTGCAGACGGTGCCGTCTACATATGGAATGTGAGCACAGGAAACCTGGAAAAACGGCTTCCTGACATGCACAGGTAACTCAGGGATGGCCACCATGGACAACCAATCATTTAATTTCCTAACCATACTTGCATTTCCTAAGTATCGTTAGCAAACTATGATTGCAAATTCTGTCATGACAAACATAATTCAATATTTCTGTGTTTTCCAAAACCATAGCTCCAACACACATTTGCAAACAGCATACCAGAATTGTGTGGTCAGAACTACAGCATAGTTTCTTGTTATTATGAAATGTGGACTGGCTAATATGCAGTAAAAGCTATATACAGTATGTCATTCCACATTTTCATTCTACATCTTTTAGTCTGTAAAGACAATGAAAGCACTGTCTTTAAAGAGTGCACGTGTGAGGCTTTGCTCTAGAAACCAAGCGGAATGTAATACGGAGCCTGCAATTGAATCAAATATCTGAAAATAAAGTGAAACAATGGAGAACAAAATAGCGAAGTAGTCCTTAGATGCCATGTTTAATATTTACAGCAATAATCTGACATTAATTCAATTAAATTTACAACTCCACCACCATTGTGATGTAATTTACTACAGTTGTGGATTTAATCACAGTTGTTCCAAAAATTATTACAATTTCGGGAAATAGTCGTGACTAGGAAGTTAATTTCTCCAGTTTTTTTACAGTTCAGCAAAGCTTGATGGACTTAAAAGCTTGATTGACAAAATATGCATATGGCAACAAGGCTTCTCAGCCTTGATTTGATTGGCCGTTTCATCTATTATATTGTCAATTTACCATTGTTCAGCGAAATTTCATTGGCAAATTTCAGTAATTTCACGCAGAATCAAAGAGTTTCTGTGATGACAATAAAAGTTACCAGCGCAGATTTTGCTCAAGTGTTTGCTCATTTCAAGTTCGTCATGTGAATTCACTGTTCTGACCAACAGAAAGCTGCTTGGTTTGAAAGTGACTTTGGTGTGACTTAGGAGCTGTGCTTTATACTAGGGCTGTCAAAATGGCTGAAAAACTAAATTCCAATTTTTTACTTAAATATGATCAATATTCGAATTATATTCGAATTTAAAAGGCATAATTTCAGTTAGGGGGCCACAAGAAGGCTCATCGAGCAAAATATTACTAATGTTATTTTCTTCAAAGCAATAAAATAACACGACTATCTTTGAAAAAAGTGCATAATGTTTAAAATCATGTTTATAAACCATATATAATTATTTAAGTTGCTTAAACAATTAGAAACAAAACAGCATCATGGATGTATGTACAGTTTAATATGAAGGACTAAAAACCAATCACAAAGACTACATTTTTTTCGTTTAAAAACATGAGATGCAGTGGGATGGGGAAAAACTGCCATAAAGTCTCGAGACATGTTTTTAAAAGTTGAACTTACATTAATTTTACATGGCTTTCTAAACAAGGCTCTCTTGTGCGAGGCGCGAGTGCAACGGTGATAGATGTCCCTCTAGAAAATGCGATACAAATGTGTTCTGTGTGAATGGCTTGGTTTCAGTTTTGACGTAAACAACATCTTCTCCGCATTGATGTTCTCTTTTTCCACAATATTTTGAATGAACAACATAGCAGCGTGGGTTCCACTGGATAGGCTAAAAAAGCATTAAAATGCAACAATACTTACATCGTCATCGCATCTTGTGTGCCACTGATAAGGCTGCCTGACGCACAACTAAAATGCGAATGCAACGTTTTTGCATTCGAATGTGGATTTTTATTTTAAATTCGACGAATGTTCGAAATTTAAAAAAAAATTTTGACAGCCCTACTTTTTACATTGCTAAGCTTTTGACAATACTGTAGAAAATAGTCATTTTTTGCCCATAAAATTTCGCTTAAATTTTGCAAATGTGACTCCCAGCATCTTTGCATCTTTTACTCCCAGCCAATGTTTTTTTTTAGTTGCAAGTCGCCGCTAGCACTTTGAGTCACTTTCACAAAACGTTCATGGCCCCCCTTATATTTTGTTGTATGAATATCTGAACATGCAATATGTCTAAAAAAGAAAAGAAAGAACAGAGCCTCTGCTTTTAAACAAAAACCCTGTTTTATTCTAGCGTCATGCTTTTTTTATGAATACTTGTAAGTTTCATTAAAAAAAGCAACATTTTGAATGAAAAGCTGAGAAAATCGTGTTTTTGCAGTATAGGATTCAGAACGATGATTCAAAACATAGATGGAGTCGATTGCTTCCATCATCACCCCCAAACCTTGCACAATCCCAAACCACTTCATGGGTCAACATTTCATTCGGTAACATTTCATTTCACATTGGTAACGTTAGGCAGTTTTGATTGAAATGCTGTTTAATGCTTGATCATCGCTTTATTTTACATACGCATCTGCTTTTATACACGATCGCTTGTTTTTGCTGCTGCTTCTTCTTCACTTGTGTTTTATCTAGACATTCAGTACTTTTTCAGAAGATGTGTATTAGTGCCCCCTACCATATAACAGTGAAAATACAGAAAGCTGGAAAATTCTGTCAATTGCATGGAAGCGTTGGGGCAAAGGAAGAGTTAAGCAGCAAGTTACATTGTTGTACAGGAAATGCACTCCGGGTTGATTAGTTTACTTTTTTTCCCTTTTTCATTTACTGCAAGTCACTCTCAAATAAGGGATAATATACAATCAGCCATTATTATGTAAAGATTTGTCATGATGCATATAAACAAACTCTAAATTGTGACAGGTTTTAAAGAGCGGTAAAGATTTTCAGCAAATATTAACTTAAATTTTGGTCTGTTCTTTGCACAAAGCTATATTTTAGTTTTTAATGTGGCTTCGGGATAATTGGAATACAGCATATTAGTTGCATGGACTATGGTTATGGAGGTTGTTGTGTCAATAATTCCACTTTTGCCGAATGCTTTTTTGGGTGGGATGCTGTGAATTATCTCTTTAATTTTGTCTTTAAATTGAATTCTAAGATTAAATAATTTTTTGCAGAGCTTCAATAAGCGCGGTGGCCTGGTCGTTGTCAGGTGAATATGTGGTAAGCGTGGACAAGAGCCGTCGAGCTGTGCTCTGGAGCGATATCTGAGACCACACACGGGCTGCCTTTTTCCATCTTATCAACTGAAGTCACTCCTGGAAATGCACTCAGGGATGTCATCAAAACACAACCTTGTTGGGAAAAGCTCACACTCTGCACTCCGTCAGTACCCTTAGTATTGTGACAGTATTTGTTGCTAAGAGGCTGTGTCATCCAAAACGCAGACAGATGTGCTAATGTTACAGGGGTCTGGCGACTGTTGAGCAGAGCTGTCTGGGTTTTATTTTGAAATGTTGTTACAGATGAATTACCGATGCAGAATGTGCCAAAGCGTTTGTAGGCTTGAACAAACAAACAAAGGTTTGTAGAGATCTCTTGACGTACACCAGATATCACTGCCTCTGGGATTTGATATCAAAGGGAAACATGAACAAAATTGATTCAGCCTGTTTTAGGAATACAACAACACATTTCTGAATACGTGGAAACTCGAGCCCAATGTATTCGCATGTCAGTCCTATTTTTAGAGACCAAAACACAGAACAGACACAAAATTGAATGCCTGGTAAAAGGCCATTGTATATTGTCGCACAATGACACTGATTCTTGAATGCAATATACAATGAGATATAAATATTATAAATGGGAAAAAAAGCACTATTGTTCAAAACTGTGGGGTCAGTATTTTTTAGGAAATCAATGCTGATATTCATTTGATCAGTAGTGACAGTAAAGACATTTACAGTGTAAAAAGATTTCTATTTTAAATAAATGCTGTTCTTTTGAACTTTATATTCATCAAAGTATCCTGAAACAAATGTATTTCCACAAAAATATGAACTTGTTTAAGTTGATAAGAAATATTTCTTAGCATGAATTCTCAAGGTTCATGTGATGCTGAAGACTGGAGTAATTGGCTGCTGAAAATTTAGCTTTGCATCACAGGTATAAATGACATTTAAAAAGAACTAAATAAAATTGAAAACTTTTACAGTGTAATAGTATTACACTTTATAGATATTATCAAATAAGGTTTGATAGATTGCAGGCTTGGTGAGCAGAAAAGACTGACCCCAGACTTTTGAATGCTAGTGTATATATTTTAGCTGTCTTAGACCACAGTGAACATCATATTGATCTATTTCTAGATCACTAATGAAATGTACTCAAGCAAATTGTGACATCATCATTATGATAATGATTATATCCTGTTCTGAAAAACATAATCTTCAGGTTTTGCACAAATAGGATGATTTCATATAGCTTGAGTGCTGCTGTCATTAAAGGTGGGGTACGCGATTTCTGGTAGCCAGTGTTGACATTTGAAATCACCAAAACAAACACGCCCCTACCCCAAAAGGGTCTCGCCCCTAATTTGGTAGCTCCGCCCCACACATACGTACGCAACCCAGGCAACGATTAGTTCTGTGAAACAAAGCAAAACCAATGTTACACTGTGTCTACACCGGACGCGAGTGGCACGGCGCGACAAAATACAATAGAACTCATTATAATCAGTGATGCTGTCTACACCATAGATACATATCTATGGCCTACACTGGATGCGGCGCGGCACGACACGATAAATCCCCGACAGAAAACTGCTGCTGCATTCTATTCATGACGTATTGACACAAATTCCAAATGATTTTCAACGGTCGCTTTGTCGTGTCCAGTGTACTAGACAGACTTTAGCTGTTGCGGCGCAGACACGGTGTTACTCACCTATCGAGAAGAAACAAAGCAACCTCGGCATCCGATCGCTGGCCTTCCGCTCTTTGAGTTCTCTCCAGCGCTGGAAAGCTGATCCGATATTTACACGGGTCCTACTTCTTGCCTTATTGCCTTAAGCCTTCGTTTGTTCCGCAGACGTTTTCCTCTTTTGTTTTTTTATCCGCCATCTCTATCTATCGTTCTGTCGCTCGGCTCGGACTGAACGCTCTCTCCTCCACATCATGAGTAGACACGCCCCTTACTGCTGATTGGCTACAAGTTTGTTTTGCTATTCGGCCCGAATCAGTTTTCTAAAGCGTTTTTGAAAAATCGCTTACCCCACCTTTAAAGCAAACACGCCAATTATTTTGTTTGTTGATTTTTAAATTCCCTCTAATTGTCATGCCAATGATTTCTAATAATAAAAAAATATATATTAAGTTAGAAAAATAGCTAAATAGAAGCATTTTCACTAGTGGTCTGAGACTTTTAGACCCCACTGTATGTTGTTAATCACTGCCTCAGGGAAGTGCTCAGCTTTACTGGACTGACTCCAGTAATTTATTATAAAAAGGGACTCGTGTTTTAAAAATGAATGAGAGGAAGCCTTGGCCTCCGCCACACTCTTTAGTGCTGCCATAGAGACCCAGTATGCTCACTGCTAAACTGCGCTCAGATTAGCATTTAAAAGAGCCCTGTGTCTGATGAGAATCACAGCGCACCGCTCTGACTGACTTTGAAGATCCAAATTACTGCCATGTGATTCGATCTGCTGTGTTCATTTGCATGTTAATTAAAGGTTAGATGAGGAAAATCTAATGCCCATCTTACACTTGTCAGCTGTTGGACCGAGGAGATTTAATGTAGAGTCTAGAATATTTATTAACCTAAAACCGTATGTGCTAGTTGCTATGATGAAGTACTATGTGCCTCAGAAATCTCTGATCTTACTGTAGATCACTGTAAGTTAATGAAATATATATAAAAGAGAGAATCTCACTACAAAGAACATGTTCAGATCACCCCAAAATCATAAGAAATGTTTTTTATAAAATTATGAAACTTTATGAAAGTTAAATGTATAAAGAGTAGTGCTGTCAAACGATTAATCGCGATTAATCGCATACAAAATAAAAGTTTTTGTTTGCATAATGTATGTGTGCGTTCTGTGTATATTTATGTATACGTAAATACACACACATACAGTATATATTTTGAAAATATTTACATGTATTCACATGCCTATATTTATATTCATATAATTTATATGATAAATAAATATATTTAATATATAAACATAACCTATTTTTCTAAAATATATATACATGCATGTGTGTGTATATTTATATATACATAATAAATATACACAGCACACATGCATATAATGTAAACAAAAACTTTTATTTTGGATGCGATTAATCGCGATTAATCGTTTGACAGCACTAATAAAAAGTTCCATTTTCACATTTATAAATTTATATTAGCATAACGTCAGTATAAAACAATTCTATAATTATTATAGAGAACTTTACATGTTAAAAATACATTATTTAAAAAGTGTTATGATAATCAGAGCAAGATTTTTCAAATTGCAATAATGAGAATTAGGGTAAAAATGTGCGTAATTGTCATGAAAATAATGTTCCAATGCAATGCAAAAATCGATTAAATATTTGAATTGAACATAAAGATTTATTAAATATGACCTTGGCATGTATTTCATGACCTGCTTGAAATACTGGGGTTAAGTAAATCAAAGACACTTCATGAGATTAAGAAGAATCTACAAGGAAACATCTATTAGATATTTTGGTTGACTTAGAATAATTGATGTACAATTAAATTAATTTCAACAGCAAAAACAGGGATGTTTACAGGTGGCACTACTTGGAGCAATAGCTTTTTTTAGTTCGATTTATGAAGATTACATTTGTTTGCCCTTAAAAGTGCTGTTGTTGTTTTTTTTTTAGAGGAAAGCGTTTTCTTTTTTAATGATATTGTTACCGAGTAAAACTTAAAAGAACTCTGCCTTTCCAAATGTGGATTGTTCTCAAAGTAGCACAGTTATCAAGGAAACGGCGGTATATTTGTTAACTACACTCATTTCTTTTTTGTAAAAACGTAAGGACCAAACGTGAGTTTGATTATTAAGTCTGTTGTTTACATGCAAAATGAAAGACAAAGAGCAAATAGGAATAAGTCCTATGTTCTAACAGGCACTTTCCATGAATAGGGTACAAAATACTGTATGTCCTGAAATACCAAAACTTGTCATGATATATTTTTAAACACCAATTTAAGTGATTTTGTTGTGAAATAAACAATGAAATAAAACATTTTATAAAATAACTACTAATTTTAAAATGTCAAAAATTGTTGTGATTAGTGTATTTGTATGTATTATTATTATTTGATATTTGTAACTTTAATAAATATTTGAGATGCTTTTAGTTTTGAAACTACTGTAACTACTTTTCATTATGGGTTAATGGTTAGGTTAAAAACTTGAAATTTGTGCCTAATAAAGTCATGGGACACCAAAATGTATCCTATTTGTGGAAAGTGTCAATATGACACGATTTAGCATTCATTTGAGAATTCATGTATTTTAGAGTGTTACACTTTTGTCATTACAGTCTGAAGTAATGATGCATTGCTGTCATATTTTGTGTGGGTTTTAATTTCAGCATCATTTATAGTCATCTTGATGTTTATATTGACTTATTTGCAGTACCTTAATGAGGTTGGTTTATTTATCTGATACATGCTAAAAACACTAAAATATCAGGGATGCTTTTTCAGTGAATAAAACTATCTTAAACCCTCACGATGGCTGATTGATATGCTTTATCCTAGTCGGTATTGATTTATTGCTTTGGGTGTTTAGAACTGTAATGTGACAGCACTTTAAACGATGTCGTCGCTCATCTTGCAGCCTCTGCACAGAAGAAATCTGCTTCCAGAGACACACATCCAGAGAGGAGGGGAGAGAGCGAGTTTATGTGAGAGAGAGAGAGAGAGACGAGGAGAGGAAAACACAGCGGAAGAGCTCTGCTAGATAGTGTGGATATCAAACGGACGCTTCTTAAGCGTTAGGATTTTCCAAACAGCGTCTATCGTTCCTACATTCCCACCTGAAGGACTCAACGAGGAATCGCCGGCTTCTGCTTGTTTTATTTTCGGTTGTCTGTTGGCAAGCGGCAGTGGAGATGCTCCTGTAATTGGATTCATCTGGAAAGCGCTCAGACCGCGAGGAGAGCTGCTTAAGTGACAGCGGCTCTCTAACGCAGCATAGTGAATTCTCTTCATCTTTCGTTTTCCCCCTCAGCTCCATCACCCTCTCATCTTCTTCCCACAGCAGAAGAGTTTCTGTCGCACGCAGATCCTCGCGATGGGTGATAAAGGCACAAGGTAAGCCGTGTGTTTCAGATGGATTAGCTGGTTCAGGAGGACATTTTTCTTTTATTCTGTATATAGCTTGATATGTTCCACATGTAATTGGTCATTTAACATAACAGTGGCTCAACGCAGTCAGTATTTCATTGCAGTGCACATTTGTCCATTCTCAGGGTAAGTTTAGGATGAGATGTCTGAGCTCTTTAACACCAGTTATGATTAGTTAACATTTGAAATTGTATTAAGGGGTGTTCAATTGAAAACACAGGTCAGGGACACGGCTGGATTTGACCCTGGCCTCATGAGCACTACAAATAAGCCTATTTGCTATGCTAAATGGACAATTAGCTGAATGGATAGTTGCATTTTTGATCCTTTCCTCTCCTTGACCCAATCTGGAACAGACCCACAAGCCATCAGAAACCACTGCACAAGTGTATCCCATTTGTTTCATCTGTTATTCATTTGCTTCAGTTCTCTCTAGGAAGGCTTTAGAGGGATCACACTGTTTGGCAAAGCGGCATTTCCATTGATATTTGACATTTCACACAAGAGCAC